TACCCTTGCAGATACATTATGCCTGATTGTTGCTGGTCTACCTGTTGTAGAGTCACTTCAAATGCAAGATAATGTAATTTACTTCATGTTAGAGAAACAGCTGTATATTTGTCTCAAATGTCTCATGTGTCTTCCTTTATATTCTGCAGCTACAACTGTGCTGGACTCCGGTTTGGGAAGATAGACATTGGTCGCTATGAAGAGGTTTCAAAGAAGTCAGTTTTGGAGGGCTTTTTTGCCTTTAATAAATGATCTTTAATTATCCAGTATTGCTTGATGCTTTCTAGAATTCTATTGACTGGTATTAACTGTCTTTCTGAACAGGTACAGGGTTAGTACTTCTCCTCTGGCCAAGCAGCTACCTTCAGTTCTGCTTTTTCAAGGAGGACGGGAAGTTATGAGGCGTCCAATGGTGGACAGTAAAGGTAGAGCTGTATCTTGGACCATGAACGAGGTACGTCTATTCAGATTGTAAGAAAACACATGAAATAAGACCTGAGTAGATGCTGCTTGCTTACACATGCAGACAGTATAAATACATTTTATCACCCACAGGAGAACATCATCCGAGAGTTTAACCTCAACGAGCTCTTCCAGAAATCCAAGAAGCTGAACAAAAGCCATGGTTCGAAGGAAGAGGAGCAGAATGGCTCTCAGCCACAAGAGGGCGGCGAGGAGCTTCCTCCTGACACCGACAGTGTGGAGCAGCCAAAAGAGAGCAAGAAAGACCAGTGAAGAGGAGAGGGGCTGCATCAAGTCTTTGCTTTGCTCTTAACATTTCTGTAACTTTCCTTATTGTAACAGCCAAATATTTTTAGTTTAAGGGAAGAAAACAGGCTCCACTACCACAAGAAATAGTCTCTACACTGTAAGTCTTTATTGTGGGAAATACCCATAAACGCTGATCTTATTTAAACGATCTGTGTGTGATGCAGATTGAAGCAGCAGCGATTTTGGAGCATTTTATTACACTAAGTTATTGACGAAGAAAAAAGGTTTTTGCTAATTTTTTTTCCACTTTTGTCAACGTGTCATTGGTTCTTTTGCTGCCTGTATTTATTGACTGGTTTGTTTACTTTTGTGTCAGAAAAGCCAAAGTAAAAGCTTGAGGTGAAACAAAGTAAGACTGTGTGCAACGATAAAATCCAAGACACATTCTCTTTCAACAGTTTGACCTTTTTATTCTGACAAGACATCTTTTTAAAAATTCTTTATAAGGCCATTTTGGAATTTTTTTTTTTTTAAATGTTCTCGTTACAGATAGTTGAAACTCGTTCCATTCATCACAGCCAACAACAGCAATATTTTATCTCACATAGAAGTTACTTGCTATACTCACATAGGTTCAGGTTGTTCAGTGGCCACCATCCCTTGGCCAGAGCGGGAAGAAAAAAAAAAAGTCAACACAGGTTCTCTTTATTTCTCTGTACGACGGCTGCTTTGTGCCATTTGTGATTTTTTTTTTTTCTGGATGCCACTCGCACAGAAACCGGATGGGCGTTTGACAATAATCTCACAAGAATGCACGCCAGGGAAGCAGCAATGAACCGAAAAATAAAGTTTTTTAAAGAGTCACATGCACACTGAAGACACAGCCTGGTAGGGTATAAAACTCGTACTGAACAGTGATATTTGTGTGCTTCAAGCATGTACTTTCTCCCCCAAAATGATGTGCCATGTTCCTTTTAACATTCTGCAAACACTGCTGTGGGCCTTGACAGAAAAAAATAAATAAATAAGCTTTCTGTAATGCCCAATCGTGAAAAACAAACACACTCCTCTTCTGATTAATCCCTTTCTTAACATGGCTGTGGGTATCAAAGTGAGAAGTGTTCCTTTTAACAAGAAAAAAAAGCAAATGAAGCAAGAAATTCTAAATACTTTAAGTAAAAAAAAATTAAAATGATTAGAAAAAATAAAAACATGCTTCACTACGAATGGTCTCAAGGCAAGGAAAATAAACAAACCCCAACGAACACACTCGCCAATTTCAAACCAGTCCCTCTTACATATTCAGTGGCATGGCATTAAAATTTAATGAAATAACCATAGTTTCTATTTTCTCTTTTAAAAAAAAAACCAAACAAACTATCTGGGACTGGTTTGAAATCATGTACAGAACTACAAAGTTTCTTTCCACTGGTGAAATAAATAAGCCCTTCCCCACTGCTCCTATTTGGCTGGCCATCTGTTAAAGGTATAAGGTTGCTAGCATCTTGATTGACTGACAGACAAAAACCTCTCAGAAAGAAAAGAGAATAAAAACACCAAAAAGACATACGATGATCTTAAAGCTACAAACAGATTTTGCATAATGTCTCTAGCATAAACATTACAAGCGTACATTCCACAAAGATGCTTGTGCTGCGATTGTGACAATTAACATTTCTTTGTGGCTTTTAAGAATAGAAAAAAAATAACCTGTAATTTTTTGCCACTTCAGGTGTCCACCAAAGGATCATTATCATCTTCTTCTTTGGACAGTGAAAACTCCAGCAAAAACTTTGAATAGCTGATGCAGCCATCATTTCTCAACAGGCAACTGATTTTTAAATCGCTTTCATGAATAATTACATACAGTATAACTGCCACCGTTATCAATAGTCATCTCCAATACCTGACAATTTCACCCAATAATAATCTGTATACATTTATATAAAACAATATTTAAAAAAAGACTTATAAAACTAAAATGATACTGTCTTTATAGATTGGACTCTTTACTCCATGATTCTTATCAATATACAGATTGTGTGGTCCGTTCAGACATTATTATTGGTCAATAGTCCGAAATCCTCCCTCTTAAAGTTTTACATCCACTGGATAAAGGCCATCCTTTCTATGAGTGTCAGACACTGTTGTCAGTACTCTGTGTGCTAATGTACCAAAGTAAAATGGCAAATCATTGACTAGCTATGCGTGCTCTATAGACAAATCTGTACCCAGCTGTGATGATACAGTCGCATCAGTCTATGGCTCACAAAGTGGCTAAATGGAGACGATTGATCCCTGTGAAAAATAAACCAGTGTCCCCAGTTACACTTTGTTCAAATCTGAAAGGCTGGCAGAGAAGACTGGCCAGTGGCATTACAAAGATAATAAAGTGAGTACCAAACAGGCCTGCTCCCTTAGTCCAGCGCAGCAGGAGCCTGCAGTCATGAATAATATCCAGCTCGGGTAAAAGACAAGTAGAAGTTGTCCAGTGACTTTCTCCCATCCTTGTGGCAGATCATGTGGGATGTTTGTCACTTAAACCGATATCTCATATGTGGTCCCTCCGACGCCGGTTACCTTCTTCACCCCTCCCCCTGGTTTGGATGTGGTGTGATTAGCCAAGACTGGGCGAGAGGTGGATCTGATTGGACAGCCATCGGGAGGGGAGGAGCCACATCAGGGCAGAGGAGAGAGAAGAGAGGGAGATGCAGGTGAGTGGTTCTTTTTCGAAAATAAAGCACTAACCGCAGACGTTTCTTTACGCGAGATCTTGTAAGGCATTCGGTAACTACACTGAGTGAGGACAGGGGAAAGACACAAAAGGCTACAAGACAAAACACAGCAGCATGGGCAGACATGTCACATTCCAACAACTAAACCAAAAAGACTTACACAGACACAGTTTACTATTCAAGCACTAAACAGGTAAAGACTGTAAGTAAAACATGAAGGAGGAAAAGGAAGACTCACACAGATCATGGAAGAAGAGGAGGGCTGACACAAACCAGGAAGGAAGAGGAGTAGGAAAAGGAGAAGGAGGAAGAAGAGTAGCAGGCTGACGGATCTGGCGACGGATCACTACTCACTGTGTAGCCTGTTGCCCTCCTCCCCCTCCCAGCACAGCGCCTCCTCCTGCAAGTCGAGGCTTGTGCTGAGGCCCTGCCTCCATATTGTAAGGCAGGGACTTGCCTAGGGAGAGGCCACGAGGAGGCGGGGAGACAGGGGGCTCGAGCGATCGAGCCCCAGGAGAAGAGGATGAGGAGGAAGGGTTACGAGGGGGACGGGAAGAGAAGTCCTGGTTATGCTGAAGCAGGTGGTGGGTCTCAAGTGGCCCAGCGGAGGAGGGAAGGGGAGGGCTGACAGCACGCAGGTAGGCCTTGTGGGGGGAGGAGAAAGTGGCAGAGCCCTGGAGCAGCTGCCCCTCCCTCTGCTGGGCAATCTGAGCTGAGAGAAAGGGCGACGTGTAGCCCTGCAGCGGAGTACTGGGTGACACCACCTCAGTCTGGCCCCTTACAGCTGAAGAGAGAAATGGAGCATGAAGCTTCTGTGGTGACAGCTCGTGGGCGGCTGACTCGAACTCTGGGCTCTCGGATGGTGTCAGCAGGCTGTCATAGGACAGGCTGCCATTCCGAGGTGTCTGATTGGCCAGGCTTTTGTAGCTGGTGTCTGTGGTGCCCTCTGAATGGAGCGTGGCCAGCGGGTTATGTGCAGTGTGTGCTGAGCGCAGGCTGGAGGAGTGTGAGCCACCAGTGGACAGAACCAGAGAGGATGGGTAGGAGGTGTAGGAGCGCCCAGTCAGGGAGTAACCTGACATGCCCCCTAACACCCCACCAGCAGTCCCGCCAGGGCCTCCGGGGCCCTCGCCCCTTTCCCCTCCCCCTCTGCGCACCCCTACACCTCCTCCCACCACTGTGGTTCCATCCAAGCTGCTCGGCTCAGAGCGGTAGCTAGGTTGGCGGCTGGACTGCAGGATGGAAGGAGACGGAGAGTCAAGACTCTCTCCACGGATCATCTGAAGAGGAGAGAGGAGGAGAAACAGACCAAAGGGGAGAGGGTAAGGAAAAGTGTGATGAAGATGAAAGCAGAAGTAAAGAGGGGAGGGAGAAAGATGAAAATTACCACCTTGCCGTGGGAATAGAAAGCAGAGAACAGAAAGCAATTTTGTAGAGATTTTTTAAACAGGAAAAAAAAAAAAAAAAGAGTGTTGGGGAGAACTGGATGCTTGACCGGTGCGCTACTCAATCATCACACTACTGGATTGGGAATATTGACTGATTTCAACAAGCACTAACACTGCATGTCAAAGACTGTGTGTCAACAAATGAATGGAAATACAAAAACATATGGAACATGAACTATACATTGCAGTCAATGCAGTCTCAGGGGAAAAGGACAGATCAATTCAAACACACAGAGACAGCCAAAGGGATACAGGTATACACACGTACTGAGACTTACTGATCAACCGATGGCCACTGAATGAACAATTTAAAGTAAAAAAAAGAGGGGCATGTATTAACCATTAAGGATTTAGAGGGGCAGGGCATATAAGCCACCAACGCTTCCCCTGTTTCACACATTAAGCTTGAGCACATCTGTGAGTTTTTCCTCATTAAGCTATGTATAAATCAACAAGGCTGTGTGCAGATGGTATTTTGATTTGATTATGTCTGCGTTTTAAATGTAATTAACTTCAGCTATTTTTTCCCTTTTCATACATGGTTTACACAGAACACTTTAAGGTGTCTGTAAAATAAGATCTACCTTGTTGGGATGTGTGAGTGCAGTGTGGTTTCTCCCTGGGCTGTTGAAGGTTGGCCGGTACTTATACATTGATGGCGTAGGTGGTGCTTCAGTCAGCAAGCTGCTCTCTGAGTGACAAGAAAACAAAAGTGACATTTGAACAAGGTCTGTTTATGATTAGAAAACAAATATTCATCTATTTACACAAAAGCTAAGAACTCTCTCTGCATATTCTGTCATACAAAGTGGAATCCTAGGTTCAATTATGCATTTGTATGTGCATCTCACCCTCTGTGTCAGCACGGGGAAGGCCAGGGTAACGAAGCTCTGGCTTTGGAGGAGGAGGAGCCTCTGCATCCGCTGACTGGCTCTCCATCTGATCTAGGCTACTCTTGGACTGGAAAGGATGAGGACCGAAAACAAAAAGCCATTCAGTGAAATCAGTGGTTGGACTGCCTGGAACAGAGAGCTACATCTGTAACGTTTTCCAGGTTTTCATATCTGATTAATGTTGCAGACAATTTCAGGATCCTGTGGGAGTGAATTATCATTTCTCATAACCAAACATTAAAAAAGAAAAGAAAGTTTGACACCCAATGACTGACGGGAAAATGTAATTAATTAATTAAAATAATGCATCTTCCATCACACAAACTCTTGAATGTTCTGAGTTTTGCCCTCCATGCTATGGAGTCGCAACAGACACACAGTTTCACAACATAGTATTACCATGTATCACCATCTAACAAATTTTTAAAGTCAATATTTGGTACAATGACCTTTATTCTTCAACACAGTCAGCTTTCTAGTATGTTCTTCAAGTAGTCTTCAGGAGCACTTCTCCAGGCTTCTTGAAGGACTCTTTGCATATTAGCTGCATTTTGATCTGTTCTCTGTCAAGACGATCCCACTCACCCCGAAAACATGTAGTGTTCCAGGCTTTGGGGAGACCAAGCCATGACTCATAGTATCACACTGCTGTTTTTGTTTTGTTTCCTTTTAAATGCAGATACTTTTTACTGTATTTGCAGTGTTTTTGGGAGTACTATCAAAAACAAAGCCACTACCATTAAGATGCTTTCCACAAGTACTCCATGTTGGCTCAATATCTTGCAATTCTTTTCTGCAATCATAATTCCATCATTATAACAAAATCTCCAAAACCGCTAGCTGAAATGCAGCCCTAAACCATTCACATGCATTTCAGCTAGTGGTGATCAACAACTCTTGAGCCACTCTTGTTGGAAAATTCTGACAAAATAACACAAAGAAGAAGAACACTACT